CCGTCTGCGGGGGGAACGCGCAGGACGCCGCGCTTCGGAGCCACCGAGTCGAGGGCGAGGCCGGCGCTGGGCCCGCCCGTCCTGTCTCCTAGGCCCCCCTGGGGCCAGGAGCAGCCGAGGGGAGCGTCCCTCTGTGAGGGGCCCAGCCACTGACCGGCAGGGCTGGCTCGGCCGCCCCCACGCCCGGAAGCCGCCCACAGCGCCCCTGTCGTGGCCGCCCTGGGCCACACGGGGAAACTCCGTGGGGGTAGTGACCCAGCTTCTTCGACAGGTGACGTGGCGCGGGGGAGGGGGCGGGCCCTGGCTTTAGGGGGTGCCCGGGAGCCCCCAGCCACGCCGCTGAGTGGTCTTACACCGGGCAGACAAATGGCCAACGCGGCACCTCGAGCCGGCCCTGGAACTGACCGCTCCACGGTCGGGTCGCGCCGGAGCGCTCTTGCTGCGGGGGGTGGAGGGCGTCACCCCGCCCCCCGGTCCACACCCTCGGCCGCAGCCGCAGGGACGCGGAGCTTGATACTTGTTTCGAAAGGACACAGAAGGGGGCCCGGGGTGCAGGGGCGTGGAGGTGACACAGGTTGCCGAGGGTGGTTCCTGCCGAGGTCGGGGCGGGCCCACGGGGTCCTCGTTTACTTTTGTGCGTTTAGATTTTTTTCCCACCTTTTCCAATGAACGGCTTAAAGGGAGCAGCTAAGTCAGCGCTTCCAGGAGGGAGCTGGGTTTGTTTTACTGACGCCCCTGTCTGAAGAGCCGCGTGAAATCAGCAGCGTGCCCTGCCCGGGAGTGAGGGCCCTGGGGCGGCCACTCGCCGAGGCTGTCACCGCCGGAGACGACCTGTGTGCCGCCTGTCCCAGGAAGTACAGTTCTGCTCAGGAAATGACCCCAAATGCAGGGGAGGGTTTGGACAGAACAGCGCGCTGCGGCCGAGTGCATCAGGGACGGGAGCCACTCGTGTCCAGGGGAGAAAGGACAGCCGTGCGCGCCGCAGAGGCCGCGGGCCGCATCCTGGGGGCTGCACAGCCAGCGGGAGCAGTTCTGACTGGGAAGTATCCGGATCTGTCACTGTGCACCATTTCCAGACACGTTAGAAGCCCCTGCACCCTCTTCTTCAGTAGTAAAGGATGGAAACATGCCCAGAATGTCCGGGTGACTGTCTTTGCAGGGGAAGTTTGTGGAGAAACAACAGAGTCCCGGCCAGGGGCGCCTGGGAATGTGGCCAGGTCAGGATGCCCCGAGGGCTGAGCACACTCCTGCAAACAGGACCCGAAAGGGCCTTGGGGTCATGTGACCATCGGCCAGCCCCCCCGGGAGGACCTTGAGCAGAACTTTTGGGTCTCCTTAGACCTACCATCTGGACCCAGTCCCTGAGATCGACAAGTGGGGAGTAATTGTCTTCTTTTTCTCTCTAATTTTAGGTTTTCTTTATAATAAGCATTTATTTGTTAAGGTTTCAGCATTACCACTTTAAAATACCAAAGTTCAGTTCTAACAATGAAAAACTTAGACCTAAAATGTCTGGTATCTTGAATTTTTTTTCTGCAATCCATCAGAAGAAACTTGAGAAACCAGGGGCCTCCCTGCTGGCACAGGGTCAGCATCTCAGCTCTATGAAGCCGTCACCAGCCGCTGCGGCACGAGTTCCGTCCCCGACCAGGGAGGGGCCCCAGGGCGCAGCAGACCCCTCCTGTCTCCCCGCTGCTCCCCTCAGCAGTGGATTTCAGCAGGTCCTCTGTTCTGCTCCCCACTCTGTCTCTGGTGAATCCACTCACCCCCCGCACCTCTGGCCTGCACCCCAATTCTTGTATGCATAAATATATAAAACAAATTTTTTAAAAAGAGAAGAAACTTGAGAAATCGGCAAGGTCGTTGATCAGTGAATTAAAGTCCGCCCGAGGGGGTCTGTCGGTGGCTCGGTTATCTGCCGGCTAGCAGAGCGCTAGACTCTGCAGCAGAGAGGCCTGTCGGAGGAGGGGTGCGACCCCGCCATGCTCACCCAGCCAGAGCAGGCTCTTCCCAGCGCCCAGGATGACCAGACTAGCCCAGCGCCAGGCTTCCCCGCCACGGGTGGGCATCCGTAGACAGTACCCTCCAGCGGCCAGGGAGCGACTGGTCGCCTGGGGTGGCAGCCGTGTGTGCAGGGCCAAGGGGTTCCGTTATCACTGTCTTAAACGTGAGTGAGTCCGTCTCTCTTACCCATCTCGATTCTTCGGGCTGAGGTAGCAACCCCACGCTGTCCTGCCGGCATTGATGGACACTCCCGGGCACCCAGAACTGAGTGGGGGGGCATGGTTGCCTTCGGGGCCAGGGAATGGGGAGCTGAGGAAGGAGGCTTGAGGGCGCACCCCAAGCCGACTGCGGGGTGGGGTGCTGTCTGAGGGGGACGGCGGGGTTTCCTTCAGCCACAGCCACGTCTGTGATATCCTGGCCCCCTGAAACAGCCGGGGCCTTGAGGGGTGCTGTGGCCCGTCCACCTGGTGACACCCTGCTCCTCCAGTAGAAGAGGTCGGCGGGGTTTGGGCGAGGGCGGGGGCCCCGTAAGCCAGGGAGGTCTGTTCCTGCCCTCTGTGGGCAGGCCCCGAGCGCCGCGCCGCGCCGCCTGGCTTCTGGCGCTGTCCGTGTTGGGGTTCTTTAGCTGTGACTCGTGCTGGGGTGTATTTCCCGGGCCGTGTCTTCTTTCTGGAGGGAAACTTCAGGACTGGCTGGGTCTTGCTTCTCAGCGTTTTACCGGCTCTTAGAAGTGGCTGGTTCCCCCAGGGGCATCTGCTGCCGTGCACTGATTCCCGGGGGGCAGGGGGTGCTGCAGCCGGGCGCCCCAGCCCTGGCCAGGGCATCTGAGGCTAAGCTCTCAAGACCCGGCAGGCGGGAGGACGCGTTACGTGCGGCCAGCGGCGAGTGCCCGCCGGGGGCCGCCGCATCTCGGGGGCGCGGGCAGGCCGCCTGTTGGACGGGGCTTCACCTGCGTGCCTGTTTTGACAGGTGACCTTGGGGAAGGTGCTGAAAGTGATCGTCGTCATGCGCAGCCTGTTCATCGACCGGACCATCGTGAGGGGCTACAGCGAGAACGTGTACTCCGAGGATGGCAAGGTGGGCTCCGGGCGCCGGCATCCCCTGCCCCCCTTCTGGGGCCCCAGACAGGTGTTGAGGCGTCCCGGGTGGGTGACCTTGAGCACGGGCAGGCGGAGCAGGACGGCCCAGCGCCCGATCCGTGGGGAGGCGCCGAGGCGCCCCCCGCCCTCCCCACCCACCCCGTGCGCTTTTCATCAAGCTTCCGCTTTTCCCTCTAAGCCCGATGCCCTTAGTTGAATTTCTAATTCATCACCTTGGACCCCAGTTGCCTCATTAAATGTGTCTTCTGAGGAAATGGATTTTTTTTTCTTGCTCAGTCACGCGCACCCCCAGAGCCCAGGGTTCAGCATTTTGCCTTCCTGGGGCCAGGAAGACGCTGCAGCTCCCCCCCCACGCGCCCGGCGCTGCCGCTTCTCCTGGGGGCCAGTGGCCCGCTGTGTCCGAGAGAGCCGTTCCGGGGGAGGCGGCCGCAAGCCCCCCGCCCCCGCAGAGCACCCCCAGCCCGGGGGCCGAGCCTTCCTTGGCCTTGAGGCCAGAGAGAAAGGAGCAGTCTGCCCGGCTGTGCGCCTGGCGCCGCCCCGCGACGCAGGCCAGAAGGGCGGCCTTGCACACGTGTGCCGGCGCCCGCAGGCCGCGCCGGGCAGCGGCTGCCAGCGGGCACTGGGCCGGAGGCGTCGGCCGCGTCTAGGCGCGAGGCTCTCAGAGGCTGTTAGCGTGTGCTGCCTGGGCGCCCGCCGTGCCGCCTCCTGACCCCCGTCTTCCCTTGGGGGCACGCTTCGCACGACCCGCCGATGTTACTGGTTGTGAGGGCCGAGTGTCCACGTGTCCTCACGTACGTCTACGCACTGTCCACGTGTGCGCACCGGTGTTGCTGAGCTGAAAGTCTAGCACACCCCAGATAGCCTTGGGAAGGAGCCCGGAGCTTGAGGGTCTCTGCCGGACGCCTGCCCGCAGGCTCCCCGCGAGCGCAAGGCCGGGGTGGCTCTCGGGCCTCAGCTTCCGCCTCTGCAGTCTGTGACCCCCAAGCCCGGAGCCCCTGTACATCACCGCCTGCTGGGGAGCGCCCCAGACCTGGCTTCAGCGTCCCAGAAAGCGCCCTGACAGCCCTCGCCGGCACCCCCCCGCCCCCCGCATGCGTGCTTGGTGCGCTCGCCGGCACCCCGCGTCCTCACGGAAACACGCTCTCGGGCTCGCTGCCCCTTCCCGCAGGCGGCGGGAGCCGTGACTCAGCAGCTCCGTGGCTGCCCTGAAACCCGGCCACCGTCCCCAGGCCGTGACACTCCGCTGAGGAGCCCGAGGGTCTCGGCTGAGTTTACCTTACGAGGGGACTCAGGTTATGTTAATGCTGTAGCTTCATTAATTACCCCGTATCAATAAAAGAAGGCAGCTTTTAGCCTCCTAGCTAAGCGAGGAGAAGAGCCCGGCTATCAAAGGGGCTTCAAAGCCAGCGGAGCCGTCTCCAGGGTAATTTCTGATCCCGCATTCTTCCCACTTCAAAGTTGGCTGCGTGTGTGTGTTTGGGTCGAGGGGGCTGGGGAAGCTCGAATCTGATTTCTCTAATAAGTGTTGGCATCAGCCCCGTTTGATATTAGATGCAGGGAACATTCTGATTTGTTATAGCCTTTGAAATCGTTCAGACGACCTTCAGAAAAATGGCCTCTTGTTACTTAGGGGGGAGGGGAAAGTGGGGAAGGGGGACGGGACTAATTCAGATGCAGAGGATGCCTCGAAATTGTGCTTTCAGCAGTTTTTTAGTAACAAATGTGTGTCCTGATTGAAAGTGAAAAGTTGAAGAATAACAGACCCGTAGGCCGCGTTCTGCGGTCAGCCCGTTCACCAGCACCCCCTCGGGGACGGCGGCAGGCGCAGGAGAGAAGCTGGGAGTCTGGGCTCTGGGGGCTCGGGGCACCCCGGGAAACCTCCCGCACGGCTGTCCACCACCCCCCGCCCAGCCCTCCGGGTCACCTGTTGACCTCGCGGGACAGAGCTGCGTGTGGTTTCCCGAAGTCCTGGCCAGGGCTCTGCGCTCCGTGACAGCCTGAGGGCCACTGCTGACCTCACCCACTGGAAGGAGGCCATCGTGTTCATCTGGGCAGCAGCGGGCGCTGTGACAGACAGCTGGGGGCCTGGGCAAGGCAGACCTTGTCCCGGGGTGGCGGTGGGCGCCAGGCAGATGGGGCCCCGGACCCGTCCCTAGCTCTGAGCCTCGGTGTCCTCCTCCTGCGGTGTCTGGGGCACCTCAGGACAGCGCGTGAGCCTGTCCTGTCTGTCCATCGAGAGGGCTGCCTTGATGTTTGATCTGAGCTGATACGCTTGGCCATCTGCGGGCTTTGTTTCCTGAGGCTAGACAGCACCCCCACCCCAAAAGTCCCCCTTCCCAGCCTGAGCCCCGACCGAGCTCCTGAAGCCCAGTCCGCCCCCAGCCCGAAGGCTGCTGTTCTGTCTGGGCCCAGATCGCTGGGCCGGCTAGCTTGCTTCTGCCCGACAGTGTGAGTGTAGTTCAGAACAGCGCCTCACTCATCAGGCTGAAAGTTTACAGCTTCCAGAAGGCTCCTTTTTGACTACCGCAGCCAGCAAACATTGGTAGCCAGGCCCGCCTTTGCGGCAAATAAGCAGAAGCTAATAAATATTCACTTGGAACAGCCCGACTCCCTGGAATGAATTTCTGCAATCTTCCCGGCCCCGAGGAGAGGCAGGGCGCTGACTCCAGGCTGCTCGCTTAAATGGCTTTCTTTGGCATAAATCTAGCAGAAAATCAAGTCTCAACCACCGGCTGTGCCTGCCCGGCAAAGGGGGAGCCCATTGTTGAGGGGCCCCCCCTCACCCCCGCGCACCTGGTGAGGGGGCGCATCGTCCGACGTCCTGCGGTCCCAGATGGCCACCTCCGTCCCTAGAGGCCTGAATGATGTATTGGATCTGCCTTCCACGCTCGCTCCGAGTGAGCGAGGTGTCTGAGCAGACAGGCTAGCCCGGAGAGTGCCCGGAGAGTCCCGCTCTTAACTAAGCCCGCGGCGTCTCTCTCCAGATGATTTTCCTATCAGGGCATTTTGCAGACGCAGCTCTCGCCCTTCTGGCCGAAACCTGTAACTCGCCGCGTGTGCCGACGCCTCCCCGGCCTGTACCCCACCCGCCTGTGGGGTGCCTGGCAGGGCGGGGGAGGCTGCGCTGGGCCCACTCAGGCCTGCCTGGCGGAGGTGTGCGCTCCTGGCACCCCGTCGTCTTGGCACTGACTTGGTGGAGCAGAGAGATGCGAAAGGTCGTTACTCATTCTGCAGCCTCGGAACAGTCTGAGCGCGGCACTTCCTCAAGCCCCGGGTTAGACCGCCGCTGGCCGCAGCCTGGGCCGGACCCCGCAGGCCAGCGGCCCGCCAGCTCTGTCTTCCGCAGGACGGATGCCGTGGCAGTCGTCTCCGGTTTCTTTCATCTCCCTTCAGCATCACCTGGGAGGCACAAAATGCTAACGTGTCCGTGACAGTTGTAGCTCCTGAGACTTTTTCAGTTCTACCCACCCGTCGGCTTACGTGGGGGCAGCAGCTGCAGGGGGGCACCGCCTTTCTAGGGAGCGGGTTAGGCAGGGAAAGGGGCCCGTGAGGGGCTGGGTGGCAAGGCCGGCAGACCCTGGTTCGCTCGGGGCCGGGCAGGAGCCCGTCTGAGAGTGCGTCGGCCGAGCCGCCCTTAGCCACGCCTGCGTGCCCAGCAAGAGCCCCCGCGAGGCCAGCGTGGCCGAGAATCCCCTTCACCTCCTCCACTGCCGTCACGTCGTCAGATTGACGCGACGCTGCTGTGGAGCGGGAAGGAACCACGGCCGGCTCCGTTTCCGAGGACTGAAGCTTTCGGAAAACTGAACGTTGGCGCTTCGGTCAGAGCCGGCACCGCGCTGGAAGCCCCTTGTCGGCGCCCCCTGCCCGTCTGCCTCGGGCGTGCTCCCGCCTGGCTGCCCTCCCCAGGCGCTCCCCCGGCTGTGGCACTGCGCAGACTCACCCGGGCCCCCGGCTCCTGCGGGGGGCCACTGACCAGCCCTGTCAGCGCGCCCGCCCCTCTTACAGGTGCCGCTGGTGCTCCAGGGACCGCACGCCCCTGTGGCCTGCCCCTCCCCGGAGCTCCGGCCCGCACGCCTGGGGGCATTCTCTTCTGCCCCGCTAGGCTGCTCTGGGGCCAGAGCCGGGAAAAGCATCGATTTGGCCTGGCGCACAGAGCTGTGAGGCCCAGGGGCGTGGCTGCAGGGCTGTTCGGAGCGCCCTGCGCTGGGGCCACGTGTGGCCGCAGGAGCGCTGGGCCGGCTCCGGCCGCCTGCTGCGTGTCTCGCCAGGCCTCCAGCTTGCTCGTGCGCAGAGTGAGGCCCTGACCTGGCTGGCACCTCAGCGCGCCGCTGCCCACACAGCGAGCGAAGCTTGGGTCCACTTCAGCCCGTCACCCAGACACTGCAGGGCAGGGCAGGAGTCGCTGTTCAAAATAAGGGGTTCCCGGGCCCTCCCTGGTGGCACCAGGCACTGGGAAGCTGCCCGCCGCCGCACCATGAGGGCGATCCCCGGCCGGGAGAGACCCCCAGGGCGCAGCAGACTTCGCCTGTCTCCCCGTTGCTCCCCTGGGCACTGTATTGCAGTGCCCCCACACCTCTGGCCTGCGCCCCAGTTTTTTTATATATATAAATAAATATTTAAAAAGGAAGGTTCTCTCCCTTCCACTCCCTGACACCTGCCATGGCTTCTGATGCCACCAAGTTGCTGCCTCCAGGCAGGCCGTCCCCAGAGGCCTGTCCAGGAGACCCTGGGCTGCACGAGCTTGCTGTGGGCTCGGTAGCATGGGGTCGCTAGCATGCCGTGGAGGGGCAGCAGGGTCTGGGGCGGCAGACCTGTCGCCACTGGGAGCGCAGAGACCTGTGACGCCTGCAACATGCCAGGCGCCGTACCGGGGGGCGTGAACAGAAAAAGTCCCTGGCAGATCAAAGCGCCGTGAGACTTTTTAATTTTTGAAAGGTAAAGGGGATCAAAGCAGTGGGTAAATCACTCTAGGTTTGGTAAGGAGACGGGTGCGGTTAGGGGAGCGGGCCTGGGAGCAAAAAGCAATCCGGGCAAATTGTGCAGTGAGTGCAAAGGCCCTGACACCTCCAGGCCGCTCAAGAACTGGGAGCCGTCAGGGTCAGATCGGCAAGCGGGTGGACACAGGAGGCCTCCGGGGTGGCCCTGCAAACCACCGGCAGCTTATGAGGACAAACTCAGACAGGACCTTTAAGGTCATGGTAAGCCAAGACGGCGTGATTCCGGAATCGTGGGGCTTTGCCTAGCAGCCGTTGCATGTCATTCCTTGAAGCCCCAAATTCTAAAACGATACTAATGATACTTTCGTCTCTCTTCCCCCAGCTTGACATATGGTCCAAATCCAACTATCAGGTGTTCCAGAAGGTAAGTTGTACTTTTTGTTTCTTACCTGAAACGCTTTGTGGTGTAAACACGGGTCTTAAACCAGAGGCTGACGCACAGGGCTGCCTACGGTGTGATTCTCATCCATGGCGTTCTGGGAGAGACACGCCTCCAGGACAGCATCAGATCGCCGCTGCCAGGGTGGGCCCCAGGGACACGGGGAGCGGGGGGAGTGACAGAAATGTGCCGCATCTTAACTGTCACATTGGTCCGAACTCACACAACCACACCCCACAGATCTTGACTTTTGCTGACCTAAACCAGACCTTAGAAAACAGCCCCCGGCTCCTGGTCGCCCCCACCGACCGGCTTTTCGGCCCAGGGCGTCTGCGC